GACATTCCAAGTATTTAATCAGCAGTCCATGGTACATATTGGGTTGCAGAGGAAGCCCTCAGAAGCCGGCCTTTTAGGAGACAAAACTCAGCCAGAAGAAGGAGCTGGCCTTCTCCATGGACCAGGCCGATGCTCGACAGATGGAAAAAGTGCATCCCAATAACAAGGATCAATAACCAAAGGCTGACAGCTGCAGAGACCTGGCCTGAGGGGCCCCTAAGGACTCAGCTCTGCCTCTTTCCCACACCAGACTGAGTCCAGCCAGGAATCTATCTCACCCACCTCCCTGCACCAAGCTCCGGGAGAGCAAATGAGCGAGGGAGGAACCATTTTTCACATACTTTCTCTTTCAAAATGTAGCCCTGTTTCGCAATTTCCTACTTAAGTTCTGGAAGGCTCTGGGGCAGAACCCAAGCCACCTTCTCTAGCCACTGGCCTTGTCTCTTGTCACCAAGAACCTGGTAGGCTAGCGGTGACAGAGAAAGGAAGGGGCCCAGATTTACTAACTCTCCCTCTGTCCCCATCCATGCTAGCTCACCCAAGGGTCTATTTAGTGCAGGTCTCTCTCTCTCTTTTTTGTAGGGACAAGGTCTCAGGATGTTGCCCAGACTGGTCTTGAACTCCTGGCCTCAAGCTGTCCTCCTGCCTCAGCCTCCCAAAGTGCTGGGATTAGAGGTATGAGCCACCACACCCGGCCTCACATTCTTGATGCTAAAGGAGCTTCAACCAAGCCTCCAGCCAAAAGCTGTTTATTGTTCCCCGTGTGGTGGCTTTCTCTTGGGAGAGCCAGGAGGTGTGCCACACCAAAGCAGGTGCACCCAACCCTGGTATGCTCACGTCTCAGCAACCCCTGAGGCACCGAATCTTCAGATCTTCTCTACTCCCCTATAACTAGGCTTTTGTTCTGGCTCACTTTTACTGGCAGTACTAGACAGTATTCCAGCCCTTTTGCAATGAATCCATTTAGTCCTTAAAAATGAAACCTGTTCTCTCTGATTGTTTTCCTCCTACCTTATCACCGTTCACTTGAGTTTCCACCTGTTGCCCATTTAAATCTTGTCTGGACCACAGCTGGAGAAGTGAGATACAAAAAGCCAGCACCTGGGTTGCTGGCCCTGCATCAGGGACTTGTAATAGAGCCCAAGAAGCTGACCCTTTTCCTAAATTCCCTCCCAGTCCTCCTACACCAAACCAAACAAACCAGAAAGAAAAAAAAAAATCCCCACTTAAGTAAACAAATCCAGAAAACACAACCCCATCACCCAAAATATTGAAATGGAAAACAAATCTACACTCTGGAGATTTGATCTGAAACATACCAGAGCTGGAACTGCATACGGTGGCCAGAAATGTGTTAGTCTGGGCAAATCTGTGGCCCTGTAGAGGAAAAAGCTAACATTTTCCAAATAACAATGTGGGCACGTAACAACCACATACAATCATGTGCTGTTGTTGCCTAAACCTGGAAATAGGGTTAGGCAGCTCTACATCTTGACATAGATTCCCTCTCTCCAGCACTCACTCATCCTAAAAAGCACAGGGTGTGATGTCTGGACCAACTCTGGGCTGTTCTCAGCCCTTATGGTCTCTGCCTCAGGTGGGCTGCTTCTCAGGTTGTGAGCAGGTTTTGAAACACACATCCCTCTCCAGCTCAAAACAGGACAGGGTGAGACAGATACGAGTAGGTCCAGGTGGGGCTAATTGTTTTTTTGGAAAGTACTGGGATCGCATCTGAAAGCACCCAGTGTATCAGTATCAGATGATCTTGCCAGTAATTCTGCAGATGTAGAAGCTCAAGTGTGGGGTATACATCAGTGGATTCAGGACTTCCTGAAACGCATACTATGTACCTTGTCTTAGCTGCCTAGGACTTCAAGAGCAGCTTTAGGTGGCTCAAAGATGTGATGTAGAGAAGCGGGATGGCTCAGAGCATCACAGAGTTGATGGCAGGAGATAACTGGAGGATTCAGCTCATTCTTTGATGTTGCTAAGATTCTGAATTTCTGCTTTGATGTTGGTGTAGAGGAAAGCTTATGATAATGCTTCTCAAATTGTTAAATATCTGCACAAATTTCCTAAGGGATCTTCCTACAAGGCAGATGCAGATTCTTTAGGCCAAGGTCGCTGGTCCATGACCACACTTTGGGTAGCAAGAGCCTAAGGGTCAGGGACACATCAGAGCCAAAGACAGCCAAGACATACTGGGACTGAGGATTGATGCCCCAAAGTGAGAAACAGAAGGACAAAGAGAATCAATGGTGCACAAAAATAGAGTCAGAGGCTGAAGTGGGAACAGAGAAGATCAGGGTGACAAAAAGAGGGACTGAGAAGACAGAGTTAGAGACGCAGAGAGGGGCAAAGACAGAACACAGAGATGGAAGATGGATGACACAGAGAAACTTGCAAAGACACAGCCAGGGTCAAGGAGAGGAGACAAGGTAAAGAGTGAGGGAAGAGGGGCTGTTGGCTGTGGGCAGTCTGTGACTGGCAGTGAAGATCACAGGTGTAGAAGGGACAAGACCTGCAGATGCACAGACATGAAATCCCCCACTTTCCTCACCTCCCAGCCTTCCCACACCTGCATCACTCTCTCCTTGCTCCTGCAGAGCAATCCCTCCCAATGGAACCTTCCACTACTGATTTCCCCTTCTCTTGCCTGTGTACTCAACTGCTTTCTCTTAAGTGCAGCCCTCCCAGAAGGTTTTAAACACCATCAAGTCTTTCCCATTGAACGAAAAAAGGTCTCTCTTGACTCATATTTCTTTCTAGCTCCTGTCGTATTTCTCTTCCTCTTTTTCACAGCTAAGGAATTGTCTGCTTCCATCACCCTCCCCAAACACTGCTGCTAAGCTTCTGTTGGCACACATGTTGCTGAGTCCGACGGTCACTTTCCAGTCCTCTTTTGCTTGATCTCTCCCTCCTTCTTGCTAGCTTCTGGGGCCTGATATTCCCCTGGATTTCCTCTTGCCTGCTTCTCCTTTAACTCACCGTTGGTGATCTGATCTTTATATTTAGAGGGTCTTTATATTAGAGATGGGTCCAGACTCCTCTCTTCACCCAGTGCTGTCTTTTCAGTTGACCTCATCCAAATCCACAGCCTCGACTGCCTTCCATACACCAGTTTACATTCCAGCTTGAACTCTGCCTGTACAACTAAACCTGTGTTTATGTCTAAGCAATGTCTGCTCACCATCTTTACCAGGATGTCTCAGAGGTACTACAAACTCAACGTGGTCGAAACCACATTTATATTCTTCCTTCTTCTCCCAAACTGGTCTTCCTCGCAGGTTTCCCATCTCAGAACACAGCACTGTCATCTCGCAGGTTTCCCATCTCAGAACACAGCACTGTCATCTGTCTGGGTGTTTGAGTCAGAAATAGAGATTTCGTCCTTGATAACTCCCTCCCCGTCTCTCCCTTCTTCTACATCCAATGCATCACCAAACTCTGTCAACTTTATGCCCCAAATACCTTTTGATTTTGCTCACTTCTCTCCATTTCCACTGCCTCCACCCTAGTTCAAATCTCCAACATCTCTCACCTAGATGACAGCAACAGCCTCCTAACCAACCTCTCCCTAATCTGTCTTTCAAGCTACAGACACAGTGATCTTTGCAAAATGCGAATCTACTTGTTTTGGCCTACTGCTTAAAACCCTTCAGCAGCCTCCTTTGGCTCTGAGAATAAAGGACCAACTCCAGGCAATCTTTCTAGAATCATCTGAACTCATTTGCCCTCGAGACCTTCCAGCTATACTGGCTTTCTTTCAGTCCCTTGGCCAAACTACTTTCTGCTACAGGACAATTGCATATGCTGTGTCTGTAGAACTGTGCTGTCCAACATGGTAGCCACTGGCCACATGTGGTTATCGAGCACTTGAAATATGGCTAGTGCAACTGAAGAACTGAATTGCCAATGTTATTTAATTTTAATTGCCTAAAATTAAAATTTAAAAAGATACATCATTCAGTTACAGAAAAACTGCTAAGTGTTCTCAAAACAACTTGGGTATGTGTATCTTCTTTTTCAACTTTAGTTTTTATGCAGCGTGATTACAGATCAGGTATTTCCAGTGAAAATTTAGCATCCAAATTAAGATATGCTGTGAGTGTAAAAATACACACGGAACATTGAACACTTGGTTTTAAAAATGTAAAAGATCTCACTAATAATTTTTTTTTTACCTTGATTGCATGTTAAAAAGATAATACTTTGGGGCCAGGTGCAGTGGCTCATGCCTATAATCCCAGCGCTTTGGGAAGCTGAGGCAAGAGGATCGCTTTAGCCCAGGAGTTCAAGACCAGACTGGGCAGCATAGTGAGACATCATCTCTATGAGAAAAAAAAAAAAAAAGATAATACTTTGCATATATATAGTTAAATAACAGATGTAATTAAAATTAATTTCACCTCTTTTTCCTTTTTATACTGTGGCTACTAGAGAAATATTTTCTTTTTTTATTACTTAATTTTTTTTTTGCACACCAACCTGGTCTCAAACTCCTGGGCTCAAGTGATCCTCCTATCTTTGCCTCCCAAAGTGTTGGGATTACAGGCGTGAGCCACCCTGCCTGGCCTTTTTTTTTTTTTTTTTTTTTTTTTTTGAGGCAGTCTCGCTCTGTTGCCCAGGCTGGAGTGCAGTGGCGCGATCTCGGCTCACTACAACCTCCACCTCCCGTGTTCAAGCGACTCTCCTGCCTCAGCCTCCGAGTAGCTGGGATTACAGATGCACACCACCACATCGGGCTAATTTTTGTATTTTTAGTAGAGATGGGATTTCACCATGTTGGTCAGGCTGGTCTTGAACTCCTGACCTCGTGATCCGCCCGCCTCAGCCTCCCAAAATGCTGGGGTTACAGGTATGAGCCACCGCGCCCGGCCCAAAAATGTTAAATTAAATATGTGGCTCACATATTTCTATTGGACAGCAGCAATCTGTCTTAAATCCTTCTACCCATCCTTCAGAGTTAGGCTCAAATATCACATCCTCTGAGACACCTCCCTGAGAGAAAGTATTTTATTTTTATTCTGTTTTATTAACTTTCATAGCTATGCACAGATGCCAGTGGTCGCCTGCCCTTGACACCATCCTTTTGTAGTTACATATGTGTTTGTACGATTCCTCGATGCATGCCTATCTTCTTCCCCACCAACCTCTAAGCTCCACAAGAGCAAGGCCTGTGTTTGGCTCCTCCCTGGAAACCTAGGACCTGGTCCAGAGCCTGGCACACATTTCAGAATGCCACAAGGAGTTATTCCATCCACTGCCCTGCCTTTGGGCAGGACTGTCCCCAACCATCACTGGAAGCCTATGCACTCCCTTCCCCCGGCAGTGCCACTAGCCCTTCCGTATATAGATTCTGCCTCTCCCAGATGGAAAGTCCTCCTTTATAGATGACCAGAATCCCTCCTGCTGCAACATGGCCGGGGCCCTTTCTCCCATCCTTTAAGGAGAATTAGAGCAGCACTTCTCACATTTATATAACACGCCAATCATCAGGAATCTTGCTGAAATTCAGACTCTGGCTTACCAGGTCTGGAATGAGACCTGAGATTCTCTTCCTAACAAGCTGCCCTGTGACGACACTGCTGCCGGTCCATGCTCTGAGTAACAAGGATATAGACTGCCTGTTTACCACCCTCAGAGCAGCCCCTACATTTTCTTCCTTCTCTGCACGACCCTCTGCTGAGCAGGCTATTTGGGGTCTCTTGAAATTCCCTGTCTCTTCTTGCTCCCACGCATACCTTGCCAAACCCTCACACCCTGCAAAGGAATGTGGTGCCTGTGTCTACTGCTGTCGTTGATTTTTTTGGTTTTAATTTGAAATAAACCTTTAAGGCAGTTTTCAGAGTCAGGTTAGCCCTGATACGTATCATGGAAGAGTAACAACACTCTCCAACGATAAAGTCACACAGCTGGGAGTGCTGAACGGGATGGGAAGAAGGCTTCTCCCCAGGTCACCAGCAGTCCTCGAGCTTGGCTCCCATCTGCCACACTAGCTAGTCCAATCCCAGCAGCTTCTCCAGAAGGCTTCCCTCTGCAGTTTGGTCTCAGATGCTGGAAAGTGTGGTCTCTGACACGGCCATGGCGAGCTCCAGAAACCAAGAGTGTACTGCAGGACCCGAGGGATGTAAGTGTCTTCTGGTGGCCTCAGGTGTGTATGTGTGTGTGTGTGTTTGGGGTATCTGTGTGTGTATACATGCACACACATGTGTGCAAGTATGTGTGGTTGTATATGTGGATAGGGGTTTGAGTGTGTGTGTCTTGTGTCTATGGATGCATGGATGGATTGGAGCGTGTGTGTATGCTTTGCCCCCGATGTTCCAGTTCAGGAAAGCTTTAATCACACAAAGCAGCACTGAACTCTTTCTGCATGGGCCTGGGGGCTGGACAGTGTCCCTAGGCGGGCCCTGCAGATGTGAGCGGCCCCACCGTCCCTTGCTGCTGCTGCTGCTGCCCCTTGCGTCTTCGAGAGCCAGTGCCCGCCTCCTTGCTCTCCTTCCTGGCCAGATTCCTGTTGGCATTCTCCCGCCGGCCCTGGCCTCCCTTCCTCCTCTTCTGCCCTGAAACAACCAGACAGCAGAAAGAATCAACAAAGGATGTGCAGGGAGCCCCTGGGCATGGCCACAGGCCCTAGGAGGGGAGTGTGAGGAAGCCGGAAGGGGAGGCAGGGAGGAGGCTGGAGATGCTGCCTGTAGGTAGTTGGGTCATGGTGACCTCCTCTGACAGCAGCCACTTCAGAGGACCCTGAGGCATGAGCACTGAGAGGCAGCCCAAGAGCCCTTTCACTCCCCAACCCTCAAGGCACACAAGACATCATCCTCTTCCTCATGGGTTCCCCAGATCTTGGATCCCAGTGGACCAAGAGCACTTCCCAGGTATTCAGTGCAACCCTCAGAACAGGCAGGACTGCCCCCATTCCCTCCCCGCCACCAGCCACCTCTGGGGCCAGGCAAGAGCAGCAGCCACCTCCTTGCCAACTGCAGGCTGTGTGACTTTGGTGGAATCACTACAGCTCTCTGGGTCTTAGTGCCTCTTTCGCCCACCCATCCGGCCTCCGAGGGGCCTTCTAGTATGAACATCCACTAGCTCAGAAGAAATGGGGAAACTGGAAGGATATTGACCACAGAAGCTTCCAGCTTCCACCATGCAGAGTTCCGGGGCCCTGTTCTCTGCCAGGACATGGCATCTGGATTGGACAGCATGAGGTCTTGAGTTGTGGGTGCCCCATCTGGCCTTGCCCTGAAGCTTTCTCCTGAACCATGGGCAGGAAGCAGAGATGGTGGGACCTGCCATGGCTGGTGCCTCAGCGCTGACCCCAAGGGAGCAGAGGCTGCAGCTCACCCTCAGGACATGGCACCCTCCTCACTGTGCACCTCCGGGTCTCCTTGGTGTCAGAGCAGGCAGCATGGTCCCCTCCAGGGGCATTGAGAACCCTGCGTGTCCGCTCCTCGGAGCCCCTCCGGAAACCACAGAGCTTCTTCTTCTTGGAGCAGGGCCCCCATGGGGACCATTCGCTCATTTCACATTGCGCTGGCAGGAAGAGAAGGGAAGGGAGAGTAGGACAAGGAGGAGGGGATCAAATCTCCTCCTCTGGTCCGGAATAGCCCAGGGGAGCATCTCCCACCTGCCTTCTGCCTGGACCTCAGGCTGCAGGTATCTTTAGTCCAGAGGGCAGAAGAGTCCTTGGAGACCCAGAAAAGAGTGGTAGGGTAAGCTCTCCCTGCACAGTACCCCAGCCCACCCACTCTCTGGCCAGACCCTTACCCAGCCCCTCCTCCTGGGGTCCTGGACCCTCTGCCCACAGTGCCTGCCATGGCTTACCAGGACTACTGCACTCCATGGTGCCATTGGCAGCTGAGGAGCCCTCGGGACAGGCTGGATAGCAGCGGCCCTTGTGCAGGTACAATCCCTCCTTACACTTAGTGCAGAAGTTATGGCTGAAGCAGGCCTCACAGTGCTCGATCTTGCATTCTGAGGAGAGGACAAATTGGGGGCTTCTGGCCCAACCTAGAAGGAACATTTTCCCTCATTCCCAGCCCCAACACCCTCCCTTCTGTCTACATCCACCTACATGGAAGGCAGGACCCTGGCCTAGAGCTGCAGTTACTGCAGAGGAATCTCGGGAGGAAAGGGAAAGGAAGGGCAGTGGCAGGCCAGGGAAGAAGAAGCTGAAGCGGCTGCTCCTGAGGGCTGGCTGGGACTCTAGCCACCGTCAGCCAACTTGAACATGAAGCCAGTCTCAGCCCCTGGAACCCAAGGTGAGGCTCAAGAGAGCAGTTTCAGAGGAGGAGGGTGGGGCCCTCTGGGCTTGGTGGGGGTGGGACAGGAGTGTTTCAGCATCTCACAGCATCTGCAGGGCCACCCTAAACAGAGCTGAACTGAGGGGCAGAATGGCCCCCCAGAGAGTGGCTGTGTGATCTCCTCTTCCCTCATTGCTGGGCATCTACAATACTCCAAACTGTGGTTCTCTTCCTGCCTGGGGCAGAAAGAATCAGCACGGAGGAGGGGGAAGCCATCCTATGGCAAATTCCTCTCCCTCTGCAAGGCTGAGTTCCAGGAACCACCTTGGTAGGACTCCTGGGTCCCTCCCTGATTCCCTGCTGCCAGTTCTCTCCTCTGGGGGAATGGGAGCAGGGTGGGTCCTCCAGGGCTTGGCTGAAAGCAGGCAGGGTCTTTCACAATCTCTCCTTCCCAGAGTGCAGGCGGGGCTGACTTCCTCCCAGGCTCTGGCACCTGAAGCCCACGCTGCCAGTTTCCTAGGAGCTGGCGTAGCCAGGAGCTCCCCACCCCAAGGACCCTGAGGACCAAGAGGGTAGCTCCCAGGGTCCCACCTGCATCCTCAAAAACTCCCACCATCCTCTAGGCTTATCTCAACCTCACCTCTCTCCTTCCCTTCTTCCTTCCCTCCCTGGTGCTCTGATTCCTGGGTTTGGTTGCCAGTCAAATAAGAACAAAAATAAGAACAATAGCAGCTACCATTTGTTGAGTGCCAGACACTAAGGGCTTTACCTGCGTGTCTCACAACAACCCTAGGGGGTAAGAACCCTTAAAGATGAGGCATTGAGAGGTGGAGACGTGCTCAAGGTCACACAATGAAGAAGTAGCAGAGTTGAGCTCAGAACTCAGTCTAGTCTTGGACCAGTCATTTACCTTCCGGGCCTCAATGTTGTCAGCCCTGAAAAGGGTACCATCAGTTGTGTCCTGTCTCCCTTCCAGTGTTGTTGTGAGGCTCAACTGATATGAGACCTGCAAATGCATTCTAAATGGCAAGGCACTGAATAGGTGGTGGGGGCACTGGCATTGTCTCCCTGAGTGTGTTCACACGTGTCCCCCAGCACACCGCAGCTGCAGCTACAGAGAAGGGATGGAGATATGGCAGCGTGTGCCTTGGAGCACGTGGAGCTGTAGCTGGTGTGGAAATGAGGAGCCAGAAGACCAGGGAGCGAAGAGAGTGGAAGAGCAGGCTGCCTGAGCTTGGATTCCCCTGCAGCCCATGTGGAGCTAACAATGGTTTTTAAGCAGAAGTGTGATGGGATGGGTTGTATGTCTCAGAAATGTGATGGGATAGGAATAGGTTCTGTGTCTCAGAAGTGTGATGAGATAGGTTGTGTATCCCAGAAGTGTGATGGGGTAGGGTGTGTGTCTCAGAAGCGTCTTTCGGGCTGCAGTGCAGAAGGTGGGTTTCAGGGAACCAGATGAAGGCTGGAGGACAGATGAACAGGCTATTGCAATGATCCAGGAGCAAGGTGCTGGGAGCCTGGGGAGGACAGTGGCAGTGAGGACAGACAAGAGATGACAGACAGGCTCTGATGATTGGATGGATGGGGTGGGAGAGGTTGGCACTCAGGGCTGTGGCTTGGGTGACAGGTTGGGACATGGAGGGTAACCTGTGGGAATACAGGTAGGGGCAGGTGCGAAGGGAGGAGACAGGGTTCCAGTATTTACACACCAAGGTGGAAGTGTGCGGCTGGATACTTGAATCGGCGCCTCATCTCCTCTCCTCAGAGCCCCCTCTGCTCCTCTCACCAGCCACCAGTGGTTCAAAGCACTCTCCCTCAGTCCAGAGCTTCTAGTGCCCCCTGCCCCCGACAGCCCTGCCCACACTCACTGATGCACTTGTTCATGTCGGGGTTTCGGGCGTCGAAGTATCCAGGTGGGCAGGACGGCAAGCAGACGCCCACCTGGCGGATGTCGTTCCTCTCCAGCAGGATGAACAGCTTGGGCGAGCACTTGAGGCAGCCGTTGACTTCAGAGCAGAGCTCACAGCCTTTGGCACAGGCCTGGCTCCCTTCGACACTGACTGCAAAGGTGGAGCAGGGATGAGAAGGCGGCTGTGGAGAGAACCTCACCTATCCAGATTCTGACAAGGATGGGAAGTGAATAGATCGGCGTTTCCTTCCACAGAAGGAATATGCTTCTCAGAAAGCACAGGCCAGGCAGGCAGCTGTCTGCAAGGCTGCTTTATACACCTTCCCAGTAGCTTTTCTCCAGAGAGCTAGCAACAGATGCTGACCCATGTGCCTCCCTAGCTCCAGGCACGACATGAGCTCACTCTCTAGGCCGGCTCCACCATCCCCAGAGAAGCAACCCAAGCTGCACCCTTCCTGGAATTTCTCCGCTCTCCCCAGAGCACAAAAGAGTCAGTCTTAGGTATAGAAGGAGGGTTTTTTAAATTTCCGGGAAAGTTTTAAGGGCAAGAGGGATAAAGAGTGAAACAGAAAAGGAACACCTACCCAGAAACACAAAGACAACTGGAATAACCTATGTCTAGAACAGGGGTCTCAACCACGGATGATTTTGCTCCCTAGGGAACACTTGGCAATGCCTGGAAACCTTTTTGATGATCACACCTGGGGAAAGGGGTTGTTACTGGCATCAATTGGGTAGAGACCAGGGATGCTGCTAATCATCCTATAATGCATCAGGCACAGAAAAGAATCATTTGGTCCAAAATGTTAATGGCACTGAGGCTGAGAAACCCTGGCTCAGAATCATCCTTTGAAGCTGGGCGTGGTGGCTCACACCTGTAATCCCAGCACTTTGGGAGGCTGAGGCGGGCGGATCACCTGAGGTCAGGAGTTCGAGACCAGCCTGGCCAACATGGTGAAACCCCATCTCTACTAAAAATACAAAAATTAGCCAGGCATGGTGGCGCACGTCTGTAATCCCAGTTGCTCTAGAGGCTGAGGCAGGAGAATCGTTTGAACCTGGGAGGCGGAGGTTGCAGTGAGCTGAGATTGTGCCACTGCACTCCAGCCTAGATGACAGAGCAAGACTCTGTCTCAAAAAACAAACAAACAAACAAAAAAGAGAACCATCCTTGGAGGCTTCGTGGTTTTCCATCCCAGCATTGAGTCTCAGGATCTTTGATCTCACTCACGGAGCCCCTTCCATAGACCTTGCACAGTGTGAGCCCTGGGGACAGAGGCAGACAAGCCACTCTGTAGAGGAATTGAACTTTCAGTGGAGCAGACAGACCCACAAATAGGTGAATGCTGACAGTCACAGGGCCAAGCAATAGTGGAGCCAAAAAGAAGGAGAGAAACAAGCCACAAAGGAGGTGTCATTGAGGCCACGTCTTAGATAATTTGTACAGATGTGTCCTTTAGGAAGCAGAATTAAGGGCACTCAGGGAGCAGGACCACAAAGGTGTAAAACTAGGGAAAGGCGGAATTGCAGATAACTTAGGGTGGAGATGGGAATAGGAGGCGAGTGGTGAAAGGTAAGGTTTTCTATCTTTATATCATGCTAAGGAACTTGAACTTGATTCTGCCAGATGGCATTTCCCAAAAAGTACTCCTTACAACTTGATTCCCCCAACCGTGAATAGGAAAATGTGGAGAAAGGCTACTGTGTCAGGTAAGACCAGGAACCAGTGGGTCAAACAAATCTAAACAGATTTCTTTACTGCAGGCCTAATGGAAGCTTTATTACTCTCCCGTGTGCAGTGACTCTCTGAGCGGGGCACAGAGTGAACTGCATTTCCCAAGCATGTTGGCCACAGAACACTTGTTTTGGGACCTTCTCAGACTGTTTAAACATCAGGGAGCCATTAGAACATGTTAAGCAGGGATGAGACCTAGTCCAATTTACATGTTGGGAAATTGTCTCTGGGAGCCAGGGTGGAGACCAGAGATGGAAGAACTGTTTGGGAGGAAGCTGACTAGATCATCCAGGTGAGAAAAGTGAGAACGTCTTAAAATTCTGTTCCACAGGGATAGAGGGAAAAAAGACAGATTTGAGAGATGCTTGGGAAATGCAACCCGTAGGACATCGTGGCTAACAGGCAGAGAGGAAAGAGGCGTGGGGAGGAGCCTGGGGTGATTCCCAGATGTTTGACCTGGGGTGTGGGTGAGCCGTGGGGCCAGACATGAAAAGAAGCCCATGGCAAGAGAAGCAAGGTGAGAGGGAAGGAGAGGAAGGGAAGTAGTTACATGGGGTGGAGATGGGAGTGGGAGTGGAGTGGTGAACGGTCTTTATAACTTGAACTTGATCAAGAAGGGCAACAAGAGCCAGGCAGCAGCCGGGTGCAGTAGCTCACTCCTAGAATCCCAGCACTTTGGGAGGCTGAGGTGGGTAGATCACCTGAGATCAGGAGTTCAAGACCAGCCTGGCCAACATGGCAAAACCCCATCTCTACTAAAAATACACAAAATTAGCTGGATGTGATGGTGGGCGCCTGTAATCCCAGCTACTCAGGAGGCTGAGGCAGGAGAATCACTTGAACCTGGGAGGTACAGGCTGCAGTGAGCTGAGATCATGCCACTGCACTCCAGCCTGGGTGACAGAGCAAGACTCTTTCTCAAAAAAACAAAACAAAACAAAACAAAACAAGAGCCAGGCAGTGAGGAGCGGCAGATACAGGCATAAGGCAGAGAGCTGGGAAAATCAGAATAGAGATGGTGGGAGATGGTACAGGGTAGTGGACCCAGAGCCCCGGCTTCAGAGTCATCAGGACCCAAAGCCAGATTCCCAGTCTGGGAAGGTGGGCAAAATACTGAATGTCATGTGTTTCCCTGAGAAGGAGAGATGACGATGTCCACTCTGGGCAGCTGCTGGCGTGAGTCTATGATGCAGGAATCATTCCTGGTTTCAGAACAGGAGAACATGGAGGAGTTAGGAAGGAGAGCAACCGAAGGAAGGAAGATGATAACAAACACCAAATCATCACAACAACACAGCAATAACCACAGTGGCGGCAGTGTGTTACTAAATGTTGATCACTTACTCTGTGGCAGCAATGTTCTCAGTGCTTGACAAGTATTAACTCATTTAATCCTTACAACAACCCATGAGGTAGGTACTATTGTTATTATTTTTAAATTTTATTATCTCTTTTTTTTTTTTTTTTTGAGATAGAGTCTCGCTGTGTCACCCAGGCTGGAGTGCAGTGGCTCAATCTCCGCCTCCCAGGTTCAAGTGATTCTCCTGCCTCAGCCTCCTGAGTAGCTGGGATTACAGGCACCTGCCACCATGCCTGGTTAATTTTTTGTATTTTTATTAGAGATGGGGTTTCACCATGTTGGTCAGATTGGTCTTGAACTCTCAACCTCAGGTGATCCACCTGCCTGGACCTCCCACAGTGCTGAGATTACGGGCGTGAGCCACCCCACTTGACCTATTATGCACATTTTTATAGATGAGGGAATGGAAAGGTAAATTACTTGAACAAAATTTCTCGGCCAGTATGTGTTTCAGGCAGAGGAACGAAGTTTAGGGAGCCCAGGGTAGGACAATATGAGGTGGCACGGAAACTATATATTTTTGGAAAATGGAATTTATGGGCTGGGCGTGGTGGCTCATGCCTGTAATCCCCGCACTTTGGGAGGCTGAGGTGGGCAGATCGCTGCAGCCCAGGAGTTCAAGACCAGCCTGGGCAACATAGGGAGACCCCGTCTCTATTACAAAAAATAATAATAGACTGGCCAAGGTGGCTCTCACCTGTAATCCCAGCAGTTTGAGAAGCTGAGGCCAGGAGTTCAAGATCAGCCTGGTCAATATGGTGAAACCCCGTCTCTACTAAAAATACAAACATTAGCTGACCGTGGTGGCACACACTTGTAATCCCAGCTACTCAGGAGGCTGAGGCATAAGAATCACTTGAACCCGGGAGGCAGAGGCTGCAGTGAGCCAAGATTACCTCTGCACTCCAGTCTAGGTGATGAGCAAGACTCTGTCTCAAAATAATAATAATATAAGATAAAAATAAAAATCACGATCATTCTTGTTGGTAGAATCATTGTATGAGCAAAAATACTCCAAATGCGACATTGAAGTTATGAGGGAGCACTTCGGATTATTTTTCTACTCTGGGCCTTTATTCAGTTGTGTTACAAATTTACGAGTCATTATCTATTTTAGGCACCACTTCCACTTCAAAGATATTAAATAGTCTACGATGCACTGTTTTGATTTAATTCATTGTTGACGTGAATGCGCCTTCTAGGTTTCTGCCTTAGTTTCAGTAACGGCAGTTATCCCGGCGTCCCATTTGCAGCCCTCTCCAGCGATGCTGCCATACTCATTTCTTCCTTCATTATCACCCGTTCTAAGAACAGGTTTGCAAAAGGCGCCCTTTCAGGTCTGCTGCCCACCTTCCATTCCACTAGCAACAAGTCCCTGTGTGCATTTTTCTTCAGCGCCGTCAATGGCACCGCAGAGAAAGTGTGGCATACCCGGGAAGGAAATCTGGAATCAGGTCAGCATGGCGGGAACGTGGAGCGAGTGATGAGGCAGGAAGCTGGAGAGGGAAGCGGGGGCTGGATGAGGAAGAATCCTGAGCCTGGATTAAGGAGTTCACACCCTATCCTGAAGGTCAGAAGGAATCAGTGGGAGGTTTACAACAGGAAACACAGTCAGGATTCCATTTTAGAAAGATCACTCGGTAGAGTCGAGAATGGATTGTCCGAGGGCAAGAGTGGAGACAGGAAGACTCCCAGGCTAGAACTCCAGTCCAGGAGAGCTGGGCTGAGCCAAGGAGAGGGGAGGGAGTAGACACACGTGAGATGGTCAGGCAGGGTCAACAAGACAGGGCGAAGCATTCAACAAGAGGGGGTGAGGGGCAGGGGCAAGGTGACCTTGAGATGCTGGTCTTGTATAACAGCCCTTCCCCGGGAGAGGAACCACAGGAGGAGGAGGGGGTTTGGGTGGGAAAATGATGAGTAGCTAAGTATTAGACAAGTTGAGTTTGCGGTTCCTGTGGAACATCCAGGGAATGATGTCTGTTAGGCAATTGAACACGTGGGTCTGGAACTCAAGAGAACTATTTTGGCTGGAGATTGAGACGCGGAGTTATTTTTT